TATTGTTACAATAGCAGTTGAAAAATATTAAAAATACATTGGCACAATTGTTTTTTTATGAGCATTAAAAGTTCAAATTTGACAAAATTTAATAATTATTTTATAGTTAAAAATGTATAAAATGTTCCACGAAAATAGGTTATATATAAATTACTTTATTCACATTAATATCATTGAATATACTAAGTATGATATAGGCTGACTGATCGTTTTTCTTATACAACGTATTAAGTATACTTAGTTTTTTTTAAATGTATTACCTAATGATACTAACATTCTAATAATTTCATCTTTGTTTATAAATTGTATGATGTCTTCTTTAACGAACCGACAAGTTAATGGATCTGGGACCAATTTGGCTATGGCCTATTGGCCTCAATATTGAAAAATATCCAAGGACAATCGGTAATCACCCGCGGGCGAGCCGGACCTACACAGCTTATAATAATTACCTATACAATTTATAAAAGAGATGACATATTATTTTTTAATATAATCTCGTTCTATTCATATTTAAAATTAAAATCGATAAATCACATAAGTATTATTGCATAATTGCAAACCCCTCAATCATCCTGTTTTATAATTTAAATGACTAAATTAAGATTTCACACCAATCCAAATATTTGAATATATTTTTTTTTAGTAATTAATCATGCAATCTTTTTTTATTGAACACGTGATCGTTATAGTTAATTCACCATTACATACATAATACTTTGATAAATATTAGTTATAACTGTGGGGTTATCGATATGAAGTCAAATAATTGATTTCATCTTAGAAACGTATACTATACTGTATTGTCTGTATTGTATAATGTAAGCATTATTTTTGAATAAGATAAAAACAAAAATTGAATGATTATATTGTCAATCATAACCATTCACTCTAATTTATTTATTAATTATACTATTATTTGATATATTTTTAAATTGTAATTACTAATATAGTAATATAATGTAGGCAAGTATAATTGTCTGCGTAATTGGAATCGGGAAATATATTGACGAATACCCAATGGGCAATAAATCTTTTTAGTATCAGTGTATCGCCAATATCACCGGTTTATAATAAAATTCACAACTTTTTAAGAGGACGTCGTACCAGCACAATATGTATTGTCTCCGTCTTACACGCGTAGGTATAAAGCAAATTTTCGTTAGCCAGTTTCAATAGTGTGCACATATATGTTTAGATTAATTACCTATACCTAGGTATTTTTAATATTTATGAATAAATAAATAAGTAATCATGCATTCGTGCAGGAGTGCAAGTGTTGGTTAGTTGCCATAAGTAATTGAATTATTATATGTCTTTATAAAAAGATATAAAACATATATTTCCCAGACAGAGGAAACAGACAGGTAAGTTAGTACGTATGACCTATACCTACTTAAATAAACGAACACGAGTAAAGTACCTATACCTTTATGTGGACACTGGATACATATATTATTATGTATTTATATCACCCCCATACAGACCAGTCGTTAGATATTTTCCGTCTTAAATCGAAAATTTTAATGTTACTCTTCTTTACAGATATTTATTTAATTTTGCTACCTCTACGAGCCCGCCTCCCCACAGTTATTAACTATTAACTTATATTTTACAATATTATAATATTATGATTTATGAATATTAATTATTAGTTATTACATAAAAGCATAAAGAGGCCAATTTTAATATAATATCTAAATTTGTTAATACCTTTACAGCTTTGCCTATATAGAATATATAGATGGGTTAGTAATTAATACTAGGTACCTACATTACAATACTTTATGTTGGTTTAACCAACTATTGTACGAAGGCCGTACTTTTAAATAAATTGTATATTAATTGTATCAATAATATTAATGATTCATATTTATTATTATATAATGACAAGATGGCAAAGAACTGTAATCTCGTAAGTCGCAATTAATGTTAAGTTACTTTACACTCTTTACAGTGACAAATGCCTATCAGAAAATAATACATACTATACATAATTTTTTAATGTCGTATGAGTGTATGACCTAAAGACAAAATGTTTCTTGAATATTATTTGTCGTTTTCATGTTTATAGTTTTATCAGTAGGTATACGACTATAATTGCGGCAGTAGGTATACCTACTCTGTAGACTAGACAGTATAGACTGTAATATATATATACAATATACGATATGTTATAGGTGCCTAATAATATAATATACTATTAATATATATTACAAAGTATTATGCATATTTTATTATCCAATATATTTAAATTTAATATTTAATTTAATATCTACGCTTATAATATAGGTAGGTACCTACATAATAGGTAGGTACTATAATATGTACCTACTTACATGATATTATATCAACGAATTCCGAGCACTATATTGATACATTGATGTTTTTATTAGAATTTATAAGAATCTATAATTTACTGCTTCCAAATATTTAAATTGGGTTTTGATATTGAATCACTGGCTAAATATTTGTTCTGTTTCTTTAAAATACAAAACAGGTGTTTTTAAAATTGTAAGTAAATCTCAAAAATAAAACTGAAATTAGTGGTTTTGAATAAATCGAATCAACGAATTCCGAGCACTATATTGATACATTGATGTTTTTATTAGAATTTATAAGAATCTATAATTTACTGCTTCCAAATATTTAAATTGGGTTTTGATATTGAATCACTGGCTAAATATTTGTTCTGTTTCTTTAAAATACATAACAGGTGTTTTTAAAATTGTAAGTAAATCTCAAAAATAAAGCTGAAATTAGTGGTTTTGAATAAATCGTGGAGGGATTCAGTAAGGTGGTTCAGCCCCCCCCCCTCCTTAAGGTACACTTATGAATAAGTAGTAAGATTTAAGAACTAAGTAGAACTAATTACTATATAGACATATAGTATAATATTATGTCTCTATATAATGTCAGAATGTCAGATATAATATCTACCTACGGGCTACGGGCTTGGCTCAGTTGATATACACTATAATTTATAGGTACCTACCTACTCTAAGTTAATAATATGTTATTGAATAAATTATGCAGAACTGAATAACTAATAAATATCTACATTCTACACGAGAGAAAACCGATGACGACGATAGTGATTAGTGACGTCTATCTATGGAGGCCGCCGCCGCCGCCGCCGTGGTTGATAACAAATGGACTGTAGTCAGTCTGTTCACTGTTGTAGCATAGAACAATAGAGGGGCCGACGATCGCGTGGCTTGTCCCCCCCCCCCGTCGCCACCCGTCGACCGCTGATAACTGTTAAGTGTTAACGCTTAAGCTTTATCGCCGTCGCCGTCAGTCGTCTGTGATCGCGACCAGTGCACACTTTCATTACCTTATCCCGTTCACACCGGACGGGCGGACGGACAAATCGCTGGCGTACGTTTGACGCGAGAGAAATTCTTCGCACTCTGACGTCAGAGGTGGTTGCCGTTTGTCCGACTCTCACTTTCATCCTCACAAGGAACAGTCCCCAGACCACTCGTCAACCACTAGGTCCGGATATCCGCCAAGAGTAAAGCAACAGCAACTGGACGTTTTCGTCTAAAAGGTGAGTGTATCGGCATCAAGTGTCCGGTCGAGCTCTGCTGATACGAATCGGTTGGTGGCGACTGTCGACCGTACCCGCACGGTATCTTATTACCGTTAACAAATCTGATAATATAGTTGCAACTCTCTGCCATTGCATCTTGGCCGATCCTTACTATTTGTTAACTCTAACCTACCAATTGGGTACCTACAAAAAAATAAATATGTTTTGAGTTGATATAAATTTCAGGTTTAGTTGTGTTACCGTAGTGGGCATACACAAAGCATGTCTACTGACATATTGTGTTGTTGAACTTTTTCTTTTTCTTTTTCTTGAGTGCTTCAAAAAAATGACTTCAATTGCCTTGCGATTATTATTTTACTATAATATTGTTGGGGTGAAAGGTGACCCGGTTAACCTTGTGCTCGTTAAGATTGTTGTTTTTAAAATTGTATTGTCACTGGCCAAGACCGATACAATTCCATACTATTTGTTCTAGTTAGAGGTTATTGTGCACAGTAACCCAGTAAATGGAATAAATCAATCAAATAATTATTACAAAAATATTTGAAATTTATTCAAAAATTCTTAATTACTATGCTAAACAAATTAATATGCTGTATTATTACACTTAAATTGAAGGTTAACTAATTATAATATAACTCAAAGTATGACATTGAATGATGCATTCAACAATTCATTCATTTGGTATTCTTGCCCAATACTTATGTTAATATAATTTACTTATTCTTAGTGAATATTTCGTTATGTGTAATTAACAGTTATTTAATAATTATCAAAGTATTTGTTGATCCTTGAGGTTTTTTTCTCAGAACAGGTTTACTATTAGAAAGTTTATGATTTATTATGCTAATAATATATAATTGTACCTAGTTATAATTTAATTTATTTACCTCTTAAAGTACCTATACCTATATGAATTATAAAATGCACAGTAAAATTAATTTAGAATGGTGCCAAGTATAACAATATTCCGGGTATAACGATTTCCAGCAATACATTTGGTTTTTTTTCTATCTCTTGTATAATTTTTAACTATAGTATAACTAATTATTTTTTGTAAAATTGTGTTATAAGGTTCACATAATATCACTGAGCCTAATTATGTTTTGCTTTGTATAATATGTATGTAAAATATTTAAAAATAGGTACTGAGGTATATACATTTTATATTTAAATCCAAGTATAACTACTGAATTTGGATATTTCAATATGATTCTCTGGGTTCCTTTAAGATCATCATCATCTTAATCAAATAAAAATATGTATTGCCAAAAATAACTGAATATCTGTTTATTTTTATGAGTACAGTTTAAAAGTAATATTAATTTGAATGTATTATAGGTACCTAAATATAAATAATTTAAATTTATAATTAATATTCAAGTCATTAATAATTTGATACTAATTAGTACCTACACATGTGTATTTTTTTTAGTTCAAAGCCATGGCATGCCCATTTATGTCTAAATTGCCTACTACTTATGTCAAGAACTATGTTTCGGGTCTACTTAAAACATATGGTCACTCGTGTCCAGTTATGTCTAGATTCATAAATGTTGGACCATCTGCAGGTGTTATAAATGAACAAACTGATATTAAGAAAAAGTGCCCATTTCTAGAGGATGAAAGTACTGCAAAAGCAGTTAAAGAAGTCAGCAAAGAAATTCAAGAAGATGTCATTGAACCCAAAACTAATACGGGTACCAAATTACTATTTATATTTTTAATATTTTATCTTACAGTACAAAATAAAAAAAAAACATTTAAAAACAATCAATGAACATTGAATTGCTTTTTATAATGTATTTTGTTTATTAAACGATTTAAATAATTACTAAGTAATTTATACAAATTCGATATCACATTTAAATATTGATTATGAACTAACAAAAAATATTAAAAAATAACTTAATATTCTTATGTTTATGAATTTCATCAAAGTTGTATTAGTCATTAGCCATAACTATTAACATATAGTTTATGTAACTGAATTTTCCAATAAACAATAATCCATTTATAATAACAAAATGTCATGGTACTTTGAGATATTTTGAATAGATTGATTATTGTTAAATTATGACATTATTAATTCACCAGTTTATCAACTTTTAATAAATTTATAATTTTTGTTTTTCTTTTGTTTTAAGGAAATATCTACAACTATGAAAAGTTTTTCCATGAACAAATCATGCGCAAAAAGGCAGACCATTCTTATAGGATTTTCAGAAAAGTGAATAGGTTAGCAATGGATTTTCCATATGCAGTTGAATATACAGGAAATGAAAAGCCCGTTACAGTATGGTGTTCGAATGATTATCTTGGTATGTCTTGTCATCCAGAAGTGAAGAATGCAGTTCAGTAAGATGTGTCTATTACTTATTTAATTCTTAACTCGATTCTTAATAATATTATACCTATTTAATTGTAATCATTAATCTAAACTAAATGTTATTTAATTTATTAGACAAACTTTAGATAAATATGGGTCAGGTGCTGGTGGAACACGAAATATATCAGGTAATTCAATGTTTCATGAGAATTTGGAAAAAGATTTAGCTGTACTCCATGAAAAAGAAGCGGCTTTATTGTTTACATCATGTTTTGTTGCAAATGACTCTACATTATTCACATTGGGTAAAATGATACCAGGTATGGATAATGGATATTCATAAATATTAAATTTTATTATTGACTAATAATTCATATTTATTGAATACTTAAGGCCTACATATATTTTCGGATTCTGGTAATCATGCTTCAATGATACAAGGTATTCGTAACTGTGGAGCTCCCAAGCATATATTTCGTCACAATGACCCAAAACATTTGGAAGAACTATTAAAGTCTGTTGATAAGGCTGTACCAAAGATAGTTGCATTTGAAACAGTTCACTCTATGACTGGTGCAATATGTCCACTTGAAGAGCTCTGTGAGGTAAAAATAAATATTGTTAATGATAAATTAATTTGTAACAATGTTGTAAACTTGTTTGACTGTTTCTAGATATCTCATAAGTATGGAGCGTTGACTTTTGTAGACGAAGTTCATGCTGTAGGTTTGTATGGAGATCATGGTGCTGGTGTTGGTGAACTACGTGGCCTAATGAATCAAATGGATATTATATCTGGCACATTGGGTTATTATATAAATATGCCAGTAGAGACAATATACACAATCTAAAAATTTTTATTTTATTTTTTTATCTTAGGTAAAGCTTACGGCAATGTGGGAGGGTATGTTGCGGCTTCAAGCAATTTAATTGATATGATTCGTAGTTATGCTGCTGGTTTTATTTTCACCACATCGTTACCACCCATGGTTTTAGCTGGTGCTAGGGCAGCTGTTAGTGTGTTAGCTTCAGCGGAAGGAAGATCACTCAGAAAAAAACAACAGGAAAATGTTGAGTACCTCCGTCAAAAATTGTATGCTGCAGGGTTACCCGTTGAGTCAACACCATCTCACATCATACCCATTAAGGTAGCATAAATAAAAATTCATGATAAATTTAATATTTAATTTATACATGACACATTTTTGTTTAGATTGGAAATCCGAATTTATGTTCAAAAATATCTGACCTACTACTTCAAGAAAAAGGACATTATGTACAAGCCATCAACTATCCCACTGTACCAATTGGTCAAGAAAAATTAAGATTGGCACCTACACCACACCACACTCCAGAAATGGTCGATACTCTTATTGAAGACATGCTCGATGTTTGGATAAAACTCGGCATTCCTCTCAATGCGGTAAGGAATCAAAATTATCCTTGTAAAAAGAAAATCTTTTATTATAATATTGTATATTTATTAAAAAATGGTTTATTGTTTATTGATTTTACAGACTCGTTGCAGTATGTGCAAGAAAAAACCTCTGTGTGCCCGAATCAGCAACCATATACAAAACAACTGTAGAATTACTATTGAGTCATGTCTGGCTCCCAATTGTTACCAGTTGGTTAATGCCTCAGCTTAAAATCAGTATTCTTGGTCATGTTTTAAATAACTAAATCTTAAACTTTTATTTTGGTAATGGGTAAACATTCTTACTTCTCTCAATATTTGTTGCTATTTACACACGAGGTCAGGGGATTGTCCACTTAAGTCTTAACTAACAATAGTTTTGAAACTTCAATATTTTATTACTTATTGAAATATTTCTGATAGTTCAATATAAAAGATACAATTTATTGTTCTATTTATACATTAATGTACTAAATTATGATACTTAACAACAAAACTTTACACTCCATATTTTTTTTCATGACTGATCACCTTGATTTTTTTTCTTCTATGATTTGTTATTGTTACAATAGTTATATTATTATTTATTGTTTTTTAAATATATAATTATACAGCATTATTCTGTTATTCTCTTACAGCAATTAAAATATAGTCACTATATACAATTATAATTTGTTCTGTTTTTATTATGAAAATATTGTTGTTATGGTATCTTTTAATAAAAAATATATCATATGAGTAAATACAATATTATATTTTGTTACTCAGTATTTATTTATTTTTAATCAAATGCAAGTACTAGTATTTTACTATGATACAGTAGATCCTAATTATGTCAAACGTATTCATCTTGACTTTTTCGTTATCTGAAACTACAATGATATCCCTTTGAAACTACCATTACACTCAATAAAGTTTTACTCTTGATAACTCAATATAAAATTCATCATTTTTTGGTATCTTGAAAAAATAACTAGGCGATAAGTCGATAATAATGAATCGAGTTACCTTCACTTTTTGACAACTAGATCTGAAGAAATAAATAGCAATAAATAGCTTAACTATTTGAATTTTTTTTAACTAAAACATTAGGGTCATAACGAATAATCTACTGTTAAAAATACTTGTGGGTATATAATATTAAGATGTATGTCTTCTTCGTGCAGTTATGTCTAAAAACTAGAGTAGAAACCTTATCATTATTTAAAAAACAATTTTTTCCAATAGATTTTTATATTTTAATATACATTTGCCCAATTGTAATTTGTAATACATACTTGCACAATTGATCAATATTATAAATTAAAATAATCAAGTAGTAGGTACCATTTTTTTTTTTTAATTTTATGAAATTATATTATATTTCGGTTATAAAATATTGTATCTTTGATACTGCTCAACCCTGTCATCAATATAAATTGCTTAAAAGTTTTGCATTATTAAACATTATAAATTATAATATTTGTATAAAGATATATCAATTATATAAATAGTTTAATGTAATGAGTTATTATGTTAGAAATATAAATATTGTTTGTTGTTGAATGTGAGAGACTTACAATATCGCAATTTACACAATCAATATCTTAATATATTACAAATAATATACGGTACTTTAGCTCAATATAAAACTCAATGAAGTTTAAAAATAATTTCTGATTATATTTTTACCAGATAAATAAAAATGATATGGTATATTATGTACTTAGAACAAAATAAATCTGCTTAGATACAACATTTCAGTCAAAAGTTTTTAAGGACTAATCACATATAAAAGTCCTCTCCAACATGGTTTTAGACCAAAACATTCTATTCTTACTAATCTGTTGAGTTACCAAACTCAGATTCTTTTGCAATTGCAATTCAAATTGCAATTCGTTTTTTTTATCTTTCTTTAATATGAAATATATCATGAAATTTCAAAACCTTACAGTAATAATGTATAAAAACTTTATAATTTACATTTTTAATAACATACTATTATATTATAATCATAATAATCACATTTTTATAATTTATACATAATATTATATTATATTAAGTAGGTATTTGATAAATACTTATACAATATATTTGAGTTTTTTAATACCTAGTACCGTCTTAAGAGATATACCATAGGAAATTAGGAAACATATGAAAATATGAGGTGGATTGGTACATGTTATACTGTGGTTTAAAATTTTAATACAAATTACAAATGGTGTAGATACCATGACTTTTTTTATCTAGTACCTACCTATATTAAAATATTTACCTATGATATTATATTATTTAAATTAAATATTAAACCTAACTATTTTATAATTTGTTAAGTTAGCAAAACATTTGTTTACATTGTATTATAATTTATAGTAATCCTATAGACATTTTAAGGTTTAATAGAAAAAAATGTGTGATTCGTAATAATGTTTTATGGAAATTACTCATAAATTGGGCGTTGGGCCGATTTTAATTTTAACTCTGCCAAGTTTTATTTCTCAATTTGGCACTGGTCGTGAATTATGTATAGTGTATATATTTTAATTTGTTAGTGTGTTTATTATGACGGTCAAAAGCAGATTTTATTTTAAATAAAGTTTACGGCCAATATTTACGATACATATAAACACGTACACGTAGACACATTATATTATAAAGATAAAACAAATATTATGAAAATTAAAGATAGATAGGTTCCTTATATGTATGGCCAAAAATATCTACTACTTCAAGAAAAAGGCCATTATGTACAAGCCATCAACCACTAACTAGTGGAGCATATAAGAATTATTTTCACTATGGGCCAATTTATCAGTCATCACTAGTCATCATAGCAAGACTTACATAGCCATAACTATACATTTTTCTTGGGAGCTGGGTGGTTATAATTTTGACATATTATACAGTACAAATAAAAATTACGCAATTAAATTTTATAATTATTATGTTAAATTAATTTTTTGATTCTTTTTTTAAAAATATTGACAGTGTAATTTATATATTTTAAAGTTATCTTACTACCTATGCATTTAACATCAAAGTCAATAAGTCATCAAAGCAAGTCCTGACAATCTAACATTTCCTTGTTGATTCTTTAAAAACAATTTTAATCAACCGGCTAACTTAATCATGGTTAAAAACTGTAAGCAGTGTAAATATACATGCAATGCTTTAATTGAACCTGAAATTTCACTATGGGCTCTGGCCTAGGAGGCCTCGCCCCTATATACGCCACTGCCATCAACTATCCCACTGTACCAATTATGGGTCAAGAAAAATTAAGATTTTCACCTACTACACCACACGTCCACACCACACTCCAAAAATGGTCAATACTCTTATTGAAGACTTGTTCTATGTCTGGATAAAACTCGGCATTCCTCTCAATGCGGTAAGGAATCAAAGTTATTCTGGTAAAAAGAAAATCTTTTATTATAATATTGTATACTTAATCCAAAACTGATAGTCACAGAACATTATGTGTTAGTATAAGTTAATTTTAAAAAATCTATGAAGTAGCATTGATAAGTTTAAAAAAGTGTGTTTAGTGTAACTTAGGAAACCTTTGATTTAGTACGTAGTAACTAATAATAAATAGGTACACATTTTATTTAGTAACATATCATTGTAAAATTAATAAATTCATCGTTCCGCTCAGAATCTAAAATCGTTGCTATTAATTCATTATTGTCTACACGATATTAAAATCTCAAGTAAAACCACATTAATAAAAAAATATTCTTAAGCTAATAAAATGTCAATTAAAGATTGAAAAATATAATGAGTGAATTAAAATATAAACCTTCTAAAATATTTATTTTACCATTTTTACCACTTTATTGGTAAATTTATCTGTACTTTTACTGGAAAATGTACAGATATATTTTTTACTTAAATTCTCCATCTTTAGACTTTTATATTTACTTTATATATATATTATTATGTAGCTACACATTATACATCTGTGTATGTGTAGTTGCTTTATTTTTATATCAGTAGGGCATATTATTATCTAAAAATTAAAACAATAATGGCCCAATAAATTTGATGTTTTTTTTAGCACTTCATAAATAATAATAGGACATTATCTGAAAATAATTAACATGAGATTAAGAGGATTCGGTTCCAGCTGGGTTTTCTAAAAAAATATCCATCCAATAATCTATAGACTATCCTAGTAATCGGACTAATTTTCGGAAAACATATTTGAATTCGTTACGAATACAAACGCAGTACGCACGTACTTAGAAAATTGCAGAGATGTAAAATGTAAGTAAATGTTTTTTTTTTGGTAACCAACCAGAAAAATTTACTTAAATTTACAGTAAGTTTGGTAAATTAGGTAAATTTTGATAATTTTGATATGCTACCATAGGAACACCCCCAGAAACTTCTCTCTAACGCATTTTCATGAACTTATAATTTTGGTAACATTTATTTATTTTTTTTTTACTGGATAGTAGGGTGTTCAATTGAGGTGGTCGTTATTTTTAAATTTTTTAAATTTTGTGAATGGGTTTCTAGTTATATTATGTGTAAGAAATACTAAAAATTATGTTTAGTCGTATAGAACATTTAAAAATAATCAGGGAAGTTTAACCGGTGCCCCAAAGCCTTCAAAAGTCTAACATTACCTACTAATATTTTAAGGATTAAACAAATTTTAATTTAATAGACAATTTGTAATTGTTTCTACGTTTTTAATTAATTTCAGTAAATATTTGATTTTGCATGGGTGTATTATAATTATTCCGTCAGTGCTTTTGTTGGAATTTAAATATATCTATATCTGTGATAAAATCAAGTTTATATTAATTGCGATAATAATTGATCTATCAGATATTCTTATGGTGTATTCGTATGATTAATGTTATGTAGTACCTATACTACACTACCGGTGGTTGTGGACGTTTTACATTTTATAATATAAACTATTCCATTATATTAATATGTTATGACTGATGAATATTGGCACCGTGAAGACGTTTGATTTGAGGTGCCGTGTGCTATTTTTTTCGGTAAAAAAATATTTACCTGTAGATAAATAATTGGTAAATTTACTAGATAAAAATGCAACAAAAATAATTATGTGTAAAGCATTTCGCCAAAATAATGGCGTTTTTAAAAATCTGAGTTTTTTTGTTATGTAGCGTATGTTAGTTCAACTTTAAAAAGGTTGCCCACCTTAGTTCAGTTAAGAAAAAAAAAAGCATTGGAAATTCCTAAGTAATGTTTCAAATTGTTTTTTTTTAA